CTTCTTTAAATTGAGAAGTCACAACTGCAATGTTTTAGGCACGTGTTGCGAATGCCTTCAGAACGGAGAGTGAAGACCTTGGGAACGGCCAGGATTAACCTAGACCTATTGCTTCGAAAACCCTACCTTAGGCTTCGGTAGTCCTAGTTTAAACGCTCGCACAAAATCAGAAAAGTCAGAAGCTCTATCTGACGCATCTGCTTCCTCTACCGGAAAGCAAAAGCGGTCATCGAACGTGAATGACTGAATGAGTTTTGAGTACGGCCTGTGTAATTGCTGTCCGGACTCCTTCCAACTCTCTCTTCATTATCTGATCATGTCTAGCACTATTAAAATTATCACTGTTGTTTCTGATTTCAGAGTGATTGTGGCGGCATTTGAATTTTCGCAAAATCTTCTAACTTACTGAAGGTTTCGATTCAGCCATAAGTTATAACCCTTCTTTCAGACAGCGGATTCATTTTGGCCAACGCCCAGATCGTTGACTACCCAATTGTGTACTGCAACGACCTCTTCTCTCAAATCACCGGTTACAAGCGAGTCGAAATCATGCACAGAAGTTGTAGCTGTTCGTTCATGTACGGCGATCAGACCAAACACGAAACGATCAAGCAGATCTATGAGGCACTGAACAACTATCGAACCGAGCAAGTGGAAGTTCAATTGTACAGGAAGAATAGTAATGTTATGTCTATCGTTTATTTTTATTAATGTATGCATGATTGTTTGAATTTTTAACTTTCTGGTAATTCGACCAATCTGTTTTCACATTGAACTCTCTCCCTTTTTAAGTTATGCATTTTAAAGACTTTCCAGTTAATACTTGGAGCACGGGGTATGCTGTATTGGACACAGGTTCAAGGTACTTTTCTTGATTCTGCGTCATCTTACTGGAATAAATGAAGTAGTAATCACTCATTTTGCTATGTCATTAAACCGCAATAGTGGTTTATCGTTCTCTCTCGCTGTATGAATGCGTCTTGACATTCCCTAACGCTATTACTCTTGTTTAGAGGGAAAGTGACTTATATTTCATCATACACCCAATGGAACTGAATACTGACGACAGTATTTTATCGCTATATATTAGCATGCAGCCACTGCATGCCTGTAATGAAATATACTTAAGACTATTTGTGTCTATGACTATTTGCATTAAGACTAACCATGTCAGTTCACCAAATCTGCTGTTAAACGAAATTCCTCATGCTATGTGTTGGACCCACTTAACAACACGTCAAGCCCATCACAAGGATTGGCTTGGGATCATATAAAAGACTGTGGGAGAGGACAGCAAGATATTGGCAAGTGGTGACAAGAAGTGTCAATAATTTTGTGGTTTTCAGCATGAGAGTAAGTCAAGTGGTCTTAGCGGAGTTATGGATTATTTGACCATCTCTGGCGTACAAACATACTCTAATGCTTATGAGGTAGCATATAAGCAGTAAACATCTCAGGAAGCATCGTTGGTCATAAACGTGAGGTGGCTATAGTGAACAAAATGACACTAAACGAATGCAGCATTGCAGGTGCTTAAATGCCATGGAGCAGCGGTCTTCATAAATGATCCGCGTACAACTGCGAACAAGAGGGCGGTGCAATACTCCATGAAATTTGGTCTTTGAGAAACTATTGATTATTCAACATATTCCTTCGCACGGACATATTTTCAAATTCAAAATGTATGAAATATGCGCAAAAGAATATGATTTGTATAATTTTCACTTCTTTATTAGTCATAACTCATTGATGCTTTTGCATGATAATGTTTTTCTTCATGTTATTTTCATTGTTACCTTTTAGAAACTATACTCTGGGTTTTGATGCATATTTCTCCAATCCGAAATGATCGCGACAGGGTGCTATTGCTTCTTTGTCAATTTAGAGACATCACGGATACGAAAGCTCCTTTCGACGATGACTCGACAAAAGGTACGTAAATGTTTTAATTCAAATAGCCAAATCCAATTAGTTGAAATTCCAGTTCAGTGTCCCTGAGAGGACATGATGGTGATGTTGAACTCCTCAGTGATAGTGCAGCAAACATTAGGTGGAAAACAGCATTTACACAAGTGATTTAATATCAGTAAATTAAACGTGGTTCAATATGTGTGAAAATAGAAAATATGTTCCATATCTACCAAAACAAATAAAGGTTCCAGTATGTGTGTGCCATCGTTACCCCTGACGCATTGCTTTCATATTTTGCCGTTACTACCATAAGCCATGGCAAAATATATTATCATAAATAATTACATTTAACATTACAGTAAAATAAAACTGAATAAATGAATTATGAGAGTTCATCTCCTGCTGCAGTTAGGGTACAGAAGTTGTTCAGTAATTCACTTCTGTGGGTTGAGATGATTGTACTAGTCAATAGTATGCGCCAGTAACGAAAGCCACACAGGGTGAATCCGTTGGTTTCGATAAAGGTTTGGGAGATATTGGCAGTAGTTCCTGTGGGTAGGTGCCCTGGATGAACTGTCGAATAATCACTGGATGAAATACACTTAAGAAGAGAGACGGTTGGAGGAGCGTCAAATTGCATTCTCTATGCGTACAAAATTAGTACGAGTTGAATGAAGGGTGAAGGTCCATATAAGCAGGTAACATTTCTTAACCAAGGCCGTGTTTTATCAACTTTGCTCTAAATCCGTGACAGTGACGAATGAAACGTTGATATACTTTTCACTTTCCTGACATGTTATCTTGTATTTTGTTGCATTGCATGATGTTTTCTCTTCGCAAATTATGTCTAAAAATTTTATGCTTTTAAAATGGAACAATATTACAGTATAAAGTGTATATACAGTATGTTCTGTCTTACTGTATATGGTACCCGTAATGCTTAAATTTACCTATACGTACATAACGCTTGTCTGTTGAGGCCTGGGGTGGATTTTACAGTTGGCCAGGGTAGCACGACGTCGACAGCTGACTGACATCGAACATAGGGACAGCAAGGACAACACGTTGAATTTCACTCAGGTAATACAGCAGTCTCATTTTCGTTCAGCCAATGAACGACATGTACGTAATTCGGTTTTATGCAGATGGTAAACTTCGGGAACGAACCGTACCCAATGTACAAGCAAGAGACGCCGAAAACTCCGCCACACATCATCCTGCATTACGGCGCGTTCAAGACCATCTGGGACTGGATCATTCTAGCGGTGACATTCTACACGGCGGTCGTTGTTCCGTACTACGTCGCATTCAAGGTTCACACCTACGAATCGCTGGTAGCACTCATCCTTGACACGTCAGCGGACTTTATATTTGTCACCGACGTCGTGTTGAACTTCCAGACCACGTTCGTTGGGCCAGGTGGTGAAATTGTATCAGATCCTAAAATCATTCGGCAAAACTACTTCAGGACGTGGTTCTTCATGGACCTTCTCTCATGTCTTCCTTATGATGTCTTAAAACTGATAGGAAAGTGGAACAAGGTAAACGTTTCTAAAAGAAGCGTTCTTTCTTAGAAGAACGCCAAACATAAAGATGATTTTAAATTTCCAATTGAGTTATACATAAAGTTAAATTTTTTTGTATACGGATGTTATCTCTTGTTGACTATGCGGGGATTCACCAGAATTCAAAGCAACGATTATAACTCACTGTGCAGTCGCTGAACCCCTGAGACAAGAAGCAGCACTTCATACGGAGAATTCGCTCTGAGCTTGCAATCCGCACCTACAGCTTGTAAAGCAGAAACAATTCATAAAACAGCTATTTCGAATTTGGTCAAGAACTCTGAAAAAGCTTTGCGGGCTTTATGCTACAAGGTAAAAATACTAATGATACCGGATTCAAACGGCGAATGCACAGTGTAAAGAAATAAAAATCAGTTTCTCACTTTACACCAGCAGCTGATTGCACCGCCCCGTGCATCTAGACGCCTAGGGGCATTTAAGCAGTCTACGGCTCTATGGTATTTAAGCGCCTGCAGTGCATAGGACGTAGGACCGCGTTTCGAACAAGAAGCACTGCCACGATCCGTAGGAGAAAAAGTGACAGAATGAAACCCCAATGTTCTGCGGAGCTATCGATATCGCCGCTGAATATATCATAGTAAAAATAATTATTGCTGCAAAGTCTTTCAGAATTTGTTCCTCTTCTCATTTCTTCATTTCATTAATTATTTCTTCACTTCATCGCACCCAAAAGTTGGCTTTCTTCAAGCCTTCATGGAATACATTAAGTTCATTTTTATTCTGAACCAGTTATTGAGGGAATTTATAATAGTGATAAACTAATTGAAAACAAATGGGATATCTTTTCTTCAGCAGTCAGAAAATTTCTCTCCTCTCAATACTTATTCCCACCGCTCTTGCTAACGATTCATCAATTTCATCTGTAAATAAGCATGTAACTCCGCAGTACGGGATTTCATGGGATTCTGACCGTAGCCCGTTGTTCTGAAATAGGATCACATGCTGCTCTTGTTAAATTTTCATGCTATTGAAATCCTCTGAAGCATATCTAAGTTTTTCTATAGTCTAGCGCTTCTTCAATGTCATTTTTTACTATTGCGATTATTTTATGCTGATATCGTAAGATGCCAGTGCTGCTGCATATTTATTTCCGGTTTAATGAAGTTATCAATGGCAAAACAAACGCATCGACTTCTAGCGGAAATTGTTTTCTCCATTGTGGTCATCGCAATCAAAATAATCACAGTCGCCGGCAGCATAAGCAAAACCATTAATATTGTCCATTGAGTCATCAACATTCCATCTTTGTAAGGCTTGTGGATTTGAAAAAACGCCTCAATCAGCCTATCTTCGTAATTTGTTGCTTCATCTTGCCACACATCATCATTAATCATACCTTTTCGAAATACCTCTCACACAGTGTTATATCAATTCGTTTGCTATACGACCGCGACATGGACTGTATATTCTCGGACTAGCTCACTCTTTCCCCTTCTCTAACTTTTTCTAGCCACTGCCTATGTGCGCAATAACATTGAACTTCCAGTAAGTGGGCGATGATGGTTTTTTCATTTGGCGTCAGGCAAAACTTCGC